TCGCGCCCGGAAGCGCAAACAGCACCGGGCCGCCCGCCGAGGCAGTGCAGCGCGTTCTTGCAAGACAGCCTTGGGGGCGAATAGGTAGTATTATTAGGGGTACCCCTTAAAGGGTTTAGGGTTTAGGGTTTATTTAAAGGTTTAGGGCTTTGGGTTTAGGGCTCTGGGTTTAGGGTCTAAGGTTTAAAGGTTTAGGGTTTAAAGGTTTAGGGTTTAGGGCTTTGGGTTTAGGGCTTATTTAAAGGTTTAGGGCTTGGGGTTTAGGGGTTTAAAGGTTTAGGGTTGAAAGGTTTAGGGTTTTGGGTTTTGGGTTTAAAGGTTTGGGTTTAAGGGTTTCGGGTTTAGGGCTTTGGGTTTAGGGGTTTAAAGGTTTAGGGGTGTAAAGGTTCAGGGGTTTAGGGCTTTGGGTTTGGGGTTTAAAGGTTTAGGGTTGAACGGTTTAGGGTTTAGGGCTTTGGGCTTAGGGGTTTAAAGGTTTAGGGTTGCACGGTTGAGGGGTTACGGCTTTGGGTTTAGTGTTAAAGGTTTATGGTTTAAAGGATTAGGGGTTTGGGTTAAGGGCTTTGGTTTAGGGTTTAAAGGTTTAGGGCTTAAAGGTTTAGGGTTGAACGGTTTAGGGTTCAGGGCTTTGGGTTTAGGGTTGAAAGGTTTAGGGGTTTGGGTTTAGGGTTTAAAGGTTTAGGGTTTAAACCTTTGCGGGTTTAGGGTTGTGGGCTACTCTTTGTCCTGTTTTCTGTAGGACTTATAGAGCTCTTAGGGTTTAGGACTATATAGGGTTTGTACTTTAGGACTAGAGGGTCTAAGGGTTTAGGACCTATAGGGCTCATACTTTAGGACTATCGGGCTCTTCGGGTGAAGAGTTTACTACCTTTGTGCCCTAGGGTTTAGGGCTTGACGTGTTTATGCCCTTGTTTGGGGCTTTTTGGATGCTTGCAAGCAGAGGTTTGGTGGGTTTAGGGTTTTTCGGGTTGCGAGTTTTTGGATTTCTAGGCTTAGGGTTCTGATTTCCTTGTTGAAAGGATTTAGCATGTTTTCGCAATTCGGGGGCACGAACCTTCGGAACGGGCTCTCTCGGGCAGAGCGGATGCTTGAGAGTCCAGCTGCATGCCCCTAATCTCCAAACCTCAAAAGCTCAACCCTAAGTCTTTTACAGCCTAGCTGGACAGAAGGTGCTGGTGCGGCCGATTGACAAGGGCCGCTGTCCCCTGATGAAACCTGGTCAAATACTTGAGGCGCGGAAATGGCGGAAATAGTAGAAATAGTAAAGCAACTTCAGAGCACACATCTTGCTGGTTCGGGCTTGGTGGTTGGGGAGGGGGGGGGGCAGAAGTCAAGTGGCCCAAGCACACAAGAAGGTAAGACACAAGCAGGAACTCTGGTGCTGTTCCAATTGGTACGTACCGCAAGCGACGACCCTGATCAAGACTACATGCAAAGCTGACAGGTTCGCCGTGATGGCATCATGAAAGTTGCTGTGACCTTCGAGCTGGGACACGTGCTAGAGCATGATGCCGACAAGTATGTCGTGCACAAAGTGGTGGTGAAGGACGCCATGTCATGTGACCTGCTAGCCAGCTGTCGCAAGTAGTGTTTCGGCTTGGCTTTCGGACCTACAACACCGGGCATCGGCCTGTTCTAGGTAGGCGCCACAGCACGGCATTAACAAGCGCACCAAGACCCGTCGTGACCCGTCTGCTGCTTGACCTCCAAAGATTGCAAGATGACGACATGCTCGCATCAGCCGTTACTACAGTAATCATGGCTTTGACAGATTCTACCACCTCCAGCTGCATCAGTGTCCGCGCCGCGTCAGGACCCAGCCGATGTTTTCCCTTCGCCCCAAGTTGTCTTCCTATACGATGAGCAGACACTCTCCAACAAGGGCAGCAAGACGTTGCAGAAGCTTGGCACGGACGGCGGCCGGTTGTCCGTGCTTTTCATTCCCTAAACCCTGTACCCTAAACCCTAAAACCCTAAAGCCCTATTCCCTAGAACCCTCAACCCTGAAACCCTAAACCCAAAAACCCTAAAACCCTAAACCCGAAACCCTGAAACCTTAAACCCTAAAGTCCTAAACCCTAAACCCCTATGTAAGCCCTAAAACCTCCAAAACCCTCAGAAAACCCTGAAACCCTAAACCCAAAACCCCTATGTAAACCCTAAAAACCGCTAAAACCCTGAAGCTCTGAAACCCCAAACCCTAAACCGCTATGTAAACCCTAAAAACCCCTAAAACCCTGAAGCTCTGAAACCCCTAAACCCTAAACCCTAAACCGCCAAGGATCAGCCTCCTCGGCCCTCCTTCCAGCGATCTCGGTCGACGCACTCAGGGGCGTAGCTGGCCCTATGGGCTCAGTGAGCTGTTTCTTCACCCCAACTAACCTAATTTTTTTGAAGGATTGTATGTAAAGAAGCAATAACAGGGTATTTTTTGAGGTAAGAACTAGGGAACCCAAAAAAAGGTAGGTTCTTTAGGGTCCAGGTTTCTCCATTTTTCCAACGTCTACCTGGAAACGGCCGCCGGGGCCGGGAAAGCGGTGAGGACCTAACCCCTAAACCCTAACCCCTAAACCCTAAACCCCTAAACCCTAAACCCTAAACCCTATAAACCCTATAAACCCTATAAACCCTATAAACCCTATAAACCCTAAGCCGTGAGGACCTCGGCCCGGCCTCTCCGCGCCGCCCGGCAGGCAGAGGTGATGCGCCTGCTCGCGATTCTCGGAGGTCCCAGCCTTAGTTTAGGGTTTAGGGTTTAGGGTTTAGGGTTTAGGGTTAGGGGATATACTTCAAATTACAGTAGGATCCCTAATTATGATATAAGGTATGTTCCCTAAGTAAGGGATATTGGAGTCTCGGAGGTGCCTGGCTGCTTCACATAGCGAATGTCATGGCATCACTTTGGCTGGGCACTGCCGCTTTTCTGGCTGGTGGCCCTTTGTATGGCGCACTGACGATTCTCAGCTTGGCTTTTCCCGGGCTGCTTTGGCAGATGCTGTGCCGACCTGGTCGTCTGGTCTGGCTACAGTACAGTGGCAAGAGGAGTCTGGAAATCCTGCTTTTCATCTGCACTCCCCTGGGCTTTCCTGTCTTCGTCCATGTGGTTTCGCTTTGGGACCTCTATCGTTTAAGCCGGTTCCTTTGGAGGCTTTGTTGCAAAACCCACACCGGCCACACTTCACCCGTGGACTTGAAGCACTGGTACATCTATGAAGCCTTCCGGGAAGACACGCGAATTTTTGGAGACGCCCCAAGGGCTTTCCTGTGCGCTGTCTCCTGGGCGAATCGGCCCCTGGGGTTTCTGGCACCTGAGGCTTGGCCCTACAGCGAAGACCTCGCTGTTGCCGAAGTGGTCGCTGGTGCTTGTGCGCTGGTGTCCTGCTTGATAGGCCTGATCCCAGCCCGGCGGCATGTGAGCCGCAAGGCCAAGGAAGTCGTGAGGCAGCACATCTTGCAGGAGAGCGAATAACTTCGAAGATGTCTTCAAATGTATCTACCCTTCTGCCCCAACCCCACCCTCCCAGGCCCTTTCTTGACCATGCGCGGTGGGTGGATCAGCAAAGCAGTGCCGAAGGCACCTACTGGTCGAAAGCTCCCCGCCCAAAGATGCATGTGCAAGGCTCGCTGATTCTCCTGTGAAGGCTCTCGACGAGCTTCATAGTCTCGCGCAGTGGAGTCTTGGGGACTCAACTATTTCGCCTTTTAAGTCCCTACATAGCTCATACCCTATAGAAATAGTCTTTTGGCGAGGCCAGGAGTGAGCTCAGCAAGTGGGCTTGGTGACTGGTGGCAACGGACAGAAGTTCGCCGTTTAGGCGAAAACCATGCACTTCCAGTTGACTTTGCAATTCAAGGGTTTAGAGGTGTAGGGTCAGGGTGTAGGGTCAGGGTTTAGGGTTTATAGTGGCTTACAGGTTTGTAAACGTGAGACTAGAAACATTTTGCAAAACGAGGCACGGCTGTTGCTTGTGAACCCCAGCGCTCCCAGTTTGGTTCAGAGAATGCTGAGCTTCACTGGCCTTGAAAGGAGAAGTAGTCACGCTGAACCCTAAAATTCGGCCCTAGAGCCATAAACCGTAAACCCTAAAACCATAAACCCCAAAATCCTCAAGCTCCCTAAAGCCCCAAACCCTAAACCCTAAAGCCCTAAACCGTTTCCTACAATCATTGAAATCCTCAGCTAAGGCTGTTCCACCTTTTGTTGAAGGGTCGTTCACCCGGATAAACAAGCCGACCCGTGGCTGCTGTGATCGCAACTTTTTATCATCACTATTTCTACTAGTAATAATTATCGTTATCACAATAGTAGCAAAAACAACAACACCAAAACCAAAACCAACACCGACACCACCACCACCACCACCAACAACAACAACAACAACGACGACAACAACAACAACAACCANNACAACAACACCAACACCAGCAGCAACAGCAACAGCAACAGCAACAGCAACAGCAACAGCAACAACAACAGCAGCAGCAGCAACAACAACAACAACCACGACAACAACAACAACAACAACAACAACAACAACAACAACAACAGCAGCAGCAGCAGCAGCAACAACAACTACAAGTTTCTACAAATACTAGCAAGTACTAGCACGACTAGTACTACTAGTACTACTGATGCTTCGACTTGTTGCCTAGTCTTGATTCGAAGCCAGGCCGCTCTGCCGCAACATTGAAGATGACTTCAGGGTGCATGCGGTTTAGAGCTTTGTTCAGAAGCGTGGCAAGGACCCGTCTTGCTCCACCCGTAGCCCTGACGAACGGAACGGATAGCATATTGTGTGTATGGTATAGTGTAGATGGTATGTTACAGATGTTTCTGTTATTTACTAGATTATCTGCTTTGTACTATATATTGTGTAATATACTGACAATGGGCATCTGCACGGTTCGTTCTTTCGCCGTGAAACAGTGCCATGGGTTTGCTGCGGGCAGCTCCCGCATTGCTCGAAGGAGGCTGGATTCGGATTTGGGGTTTCAGGAAAGGGTTCAACGCGGCCCGTGCCGGGGGCGGATTCTTTCAGACATGTCTGTGCTCTGCGATGGCCCGATCTCATGCACGTTCAGCATTATTGGCGGTCTGAGTTGTTGTGGGATAGACTTTGGAAATGGACACAATCTGCTCAGGATTCGGTGAGTGGCTGCAGGCCAGAAGATTTGCGCAGAGTTTCGGCTTGCAGCGCCCATAGTTGGGTTTAGGGTGTATGGTTTGAGGATAGATCGCAGAAGAAGGCATGCGACATGTGAATTTGTTCTTCGAAGCCAGTGACTCTCACTGCCCCCGAAAGAAGTGCTTTCGCCCTTCGCCTTACCGCAGGCCAGCACAGAGGCAAGCAGGACGCCGCTTTGCCCGTTCAGCTCGTAAGTTTCGCTTTCAATGTCGCGAACAGAATTGAAATGGTATCACTACTGACCACTACCCACTACTGTTTATGCTAGAGTTCTACCATAATGCGACCTTTCCCTTGTATTCTTCGCGGTTGACTGTGAAGCCAAGTGCTGCCCTTTAAACTTGAGGTCGGTATCGCTCATTTCGCTGCCGGCCAAGATAAGCCATGAAGGCTCAAGGGTTTAGGGGTTTAGGGGTTTAGGGTTTAGGGTTAAGTGCATGGCAACTGCAGAGGCCAGTTCGGCGCCCGTAGTTCTTAAACCCTAAACCCTAAACCCTAAACCCCTAAACCCCTAAACCCTAAACCCTAAACGATGGCACAGCCAGCTGCGGGCAATGGCGAGAAGGACGCAAAGCGAAGGCGCTGCGAGGCAAGCCCGAAAGTCGCAATGATAGACGGTTTAGGGTTTAGGGTTTAGGGTTTAGGGTTTAGGGGACATAAGCAAACAATAGGTATAAATCCCTTTATAATGAAGCCCAATAAGGTAGGGATATCCCCGTAAAAAGCTTATGCTTATGTGCTTTTGGGGTCCCTAAAATGATAGACGGAGATCTCCGAAGAAGTGCAGCTGGTTCTGATGCTGCGTTCGGACAGCCAAGACTGCCAAGACCCATACTATAGGACCCCAAATATTTACCAATGCTATTTTGGGGGTCCTTCTTGTCATTATAGTACAATGGGCCCCAAAACCCTGTTCTAATTATTAAGGCCCCTATGTTACCATCACACCCTCACGCCCGATGCTGGTATCTAAAGTATGCCGCTTGGGGCGGTAGGAGGATAAGAGGCAACAGCAGGCCCATCGTACGACTGGGACAAAGAGTCCACTAGTAGCGGCGAGCGAAGGTAGAGTTCGAGAAGGCAGCCACACTTAAAGTGCAGTATGCTCGGAGCCTTCTGTTCCTCCTCCTCGGCAGCATAATCATCATCATCATCAACAATGCAACATCATCACCATGTCAACATCGGAATCATCAACATTCCCAGCAATCAGTCAAGACGGTTTCCTCGTCGCCGTTATCTTGAGCATCATCAAAAACATAAGTATCACTCTTATCATTGCAACCGTCATCACCTTCGACAAGAGCAGGCACTGCGCAGCACTCGCAGCAAAGCGAATCAGGTTCCCTAATGAGAGAAGGAAGCGGTGCCAAGAGGTCTCATCCCAGCCCAGAGAGCTTACCCAGACTTAAGAACGCCTTCTGATCTGACTGCAGGAAGTAGATGGTGTTCGCCCGTCCTTCATGGAGCGGTTCTTTGCCAAGTACGAGCCGTGGTGATCGTTTAGTAGCTGGCTGTCAGGCTGGTTTTGGCGTAGCAGTAGCAGATAGCAACAGCTTCGCAGAACCAGCTGCTTCTTGCAGCACTGCTCCTGATGATGAGTCCACGCTCACAGTCATGTAGGCCCCTACAAACCCTAAACCCTACAAACCCGAAACCCTAAACTTATCTCATCCCCTCCTCAGGAGTTCACCTGCCAGCACATGGTCAGTTGCTCGGACTGCGAAGCCTGGGCCACCAGGGAAGTCCTTGCTGCAGCCGACGCCGAGTGCGCCTCTGACAGAAGCGGAATAGGCTGTCCTTTTGCTTTGGGGGTTTATTATGTTTCCAACGTTTGTTTTGGGTTTAGTCTTTTTGTAGGCTTAATAAAGGTTTATGGGTTTCCAACGTTTGTTTTGGGTTTGGTTTTTTAGGCTTAATAGGACATATATTGTTCACCTCTGCATTGGGCTCTTTAGGGGTTGAGGATGACAGTCTTACGGCAGGTTAATGCAGGTTGAGGTTTCAGTGGTGCAAGCAGCAAGGAAGCTTGTGTTTGTAAACTCCCATGGTCTGCATGTGCTCGCCTTCGAGCAAGTTTCGAAGTTGTACCAGCCATCCGCTAAAAGCTAAAGCGGCCGAGCAAGTTAGACCATCAACCTTATGCCCTGTATCCGGAACCCCAACCTCAAGCCCCGAGCCCGAAATCCGTGAACCATAGAGCCCTCAGGCGCCAAGTAGACCTCCGGCCCCACTCCGAGGCCAGAAGATGTGGGACTCATCTACTCTGGGTTATACAGACTTTTGGCCTGAAAATGGAGGGCGGATCCAATCTGTGCTCCCGGTTATTCTAAATTTTATTAGAGGTCATGTTTCGTTACCACTTCAGACTTCAAGTGCCAGAAATCGGCATGTACTTGCCCGATATTGAATTTGGGACGACGTTCGCGACATTCAGGGTCGTGGCTGCGCAATGTATCGACGTGGGAATGCAGGTCAGCTACTATAGGAGACTCAATAATTAGAACAAGGTTTCGGGGGTTCCTTCTTATATTTTTAGCAGAATATACCCCTAGCCCTATTCTAATTATTAAGTCCACCACATTTGAGAATCCAACCTGAGCATCGGCCGGGGACCCAGATAGGGGTCTGCACGTCTGGTCGAACTAGGGGTTGCTTTTGAGATTCTTAGCCCTTACCCTGACCTCTAAACCCTAAACCCTACCCTGACCCCTAAGCCCTGAAACTGCTTTCGCCCTATGACACGGAGTCCCTCGTAGGAGTCACTGGGACATCCGAAGCTCCTGGAAGAAATCAGGACCCGGTGTTCGGAGGAATTGTTTTGCACGCATTGATTTGCAAGCATGGCACCTCGCTTGTGTATTTCTTAGTTGTCCTGGTTGGTTGCCGTCGTTTCTTCTACCTTCATTGCTCAGATGTTGAATGCAGACCCTGTAGCCCGGAAGAGGCCCATTTGGACTTCGGCTTTGGCGTTTGCGATGCATCTAGTTGCAAGACATGCTACGTCCACGCAAGTTTTGGTTGCCGGACACGCCATCTCACCGAGAGGAAGCATTATGCCTATCGGCTGGAAAAGGAACCGGCGCAGGTTCCCGTGCAGAGCCTTAAGCTGCAAAGGAATCCGAGCTGATGACTGGGCCCGGAGCTGTGCTGCGCTCCGGGCAGTAATCAAACGCTAAGGGTCAATGTACCTTTGTAGTATACATAGGTTGGCCTTGAAGTAGCCCCTATACAGGCTTAGGTACCTCAGGGCCAAAGTATCTACGACCTGGGTAATTACATGGACGCGTCGAGAGAGAAAGCCTGTGAGACCGAGAGATCCAGCATGATGAAGCGTGTTGTCGCAGCCTAGAAGTTGCCGCCCGTTGCACACTTTTCCAGCCCATGACAATGACTGCCAAGGATCACAACCTGCGTCCCCGTTGAGGGGATTTTCGCGTCCATGAACGCTCTGCTCTCCGAGGGTGATCAGATCGTGACCATGATGCCTGCATACCAGGCAGAACATGTCAGGGTTCGCAATGGTTTGGGCGTCGTTATGCGCGAGCGGCAAACTCGCTACAGTTTGTTTGGGGACTTGCCAAGGAACCATGCCGCAAGCATCTCGCATTTTAGCGTTCCCTGTATATTGTTGGCATTCCCTCCGTTGCCAGACATCGGGGTCTCATTGCTGCTGCGTCGGTGCAGGTGAAGGTTCTTGCGGTGATGGTCACAACGGTTATCAGCATCCTTGTTCTGATGCGTATAAGCTGGTAGTTGGTTTAGGGAATGTTCGGGCTACAATTCCCAGTTATTCTGACTGGTAATACGTAGGACCCTACCTCCTGTTTAGACTTCCTGTTGTGGTCGAAGCAGGAGTCTACAAGTTTGTGGCGCTTGCTGCTGTTGTGGTGAACGTGACAAGCCGGATGCTTTTTGAAACAGAAACTTTCTGCAGCTACACGTAGCTGTTGTAATTACAATCAGGTTTTTGCTAAAAGCAGACTATGGTTTTGGCTGCTTTTAACGGTGGAGAGATGGCTTTCGTCATTTGATGTCATCACCGCCACAATATTCAAGAAGAGCATCTCCAAATACTATCCCGGACACTTTGCTCATGCCCATGTCGCGCAAGATAAGAACGGTCTCCTAGACATCCCGACGACATCCGAAAGCAAACAAATCCCAACATTTACACATAGTGACTTAGAGAGTGTGAACCAACACTCAGACCGCGGCCACACGCATATGTCGTACTTGCATAATTGACAGCATATTTCAACGATGTGCGAATCAGTGTTTCCTCGGATAGCCGCAGTATGTTGCTGCGCATCAGTGCATATCACGACACATGATTCCGCAGCATCCACAGATTGTCGTTCATGTTCGCACAGTGCTCTGCACCGCTAAACGTGCCTGTACTAGCATAGCTGCGAGATGTCAATCTGGGCCTCCCTTCTTTGCGAATGATTGCGACGTTGTGTCATACTGCAAGATATACTGTGGTGACTTTTAGGTAATGTGGGGGCTGAGACAATTACCAATACTATTTTGGCGGATCCTTACTATAATTGTAGTATACTGGGTGAAATAATGGCTCGAGATGTTGCAAGGGTTTCCATCTGACCAGGCACTCTATGAGATTGCGCGCAGCAAGCGCTGCCGCTTGCTGAATTGGGCACCCTACTTCGACCAGCAGGGCTTTTGGGAATTCCGGCTGAGCGATTTGCAGACGCTGCTGGACCAGAAGCTCGGTCCTTGCAAGATGTCATTGGGTTTCGGGTTTGGGGGTTGAGGGTTTGGGTTAAGGGTTAGCTTAGCGAAAGTAGCGCCCAGGCAACCGACGAGTATGATACTGTTGATGCTTCTCGGAAGGATAAGGGTATACTAGTTGCAGGAATAGATCGAGGAAGAAAAAGAGGGAGAGGAAGAGATACATTGAGGCGGGCCGGGAGAGACAAAGAGAGACGAGGCGGAGTAGCAGACAGGAAAGAGACATACAAACAGCTGAGTATATTGAGACGATGAGTGCGCATGGTAGAGCGTGAAGGGCACGACCACACATAGACTATTCGGAACAACGGCAGTGACAAGCACAGTAGAAGCACTACGAGCAGCAGCAGCCAAAAGACCGATATGAGCAGGAAGAGCAGCCAATAGAAGGAGTGAGCGTTGGAGACGCGAGCAGTTCGATAGATTGGAAACCAATCGCAAAAAAGTGCTCAGTTCTAAAATCAAGAACGATAAGACGATCGTTAACAGGAGAAATGTAAACACCAGAGCATGTACGACAGATGACGGAACCCGGCCCAGAGATGAAGCCAAGCCCACCCACCCACCCCCCCTCCTCTGACAGAGGTGCATTACGAAATCGAAAGACATAAAGACATCTAAATCGTAGACCCGAAGCCCATGGACCGAAGCCAAGGAATGTCAGTTTGGAGGCACCGCTGAGAATGTTGATCCTCAACTCCCCCCACAATCCCACGGGTGCTGCGTTCGACCAAAGTCAGCTGGACGCAGTCTCCGAGTTGCTGATGAAGCTTTGTCATAGTTGGGTAACATTTTACATTTTTAAGGGTACTTAAACCCAATAAGGAATATAAATTTAGATTTTTAATACTACCCCAACCATGA